GGCATGTGTATACAGTTTGGTTGTCAATTTTGTTTGTAATCTAACATGTTTTTGGTTAATTGAGATTTGGGACTTTGCAAAAGGTCTTTAGGGCCAGGAAAAAGTACCATACCACTTTCTCTACTCAAGATTACCTTTCTCCATTCCCAGGAATGGACTGTGGCACTTACTCGTCTACTGAAGTCGTCTACTTCAATGAACATTCAATGGCGATGTTAGGAAGTTGCCTACTTCTACTAGGGGAACGTCTCTGAGGGAAGGATCTTCGGCACATCCCAGTGTACGGTAAATGCCAGTTCCAGATAGTGAGCTCTGCCTTTCCGATGCAAGGGAAGCACAGTCATCATCTCATACATGTAGACCTCAAATTAAAGCATGATTTTATTTGTTGGAGTCGAGATCCGTAAACAGATATGCCACAGTAAAGTTTACATCGTCTGACAGTTCACTGCATAATGCCTCCTGAATTGGTCGCCAGACACTGAGTAGTGTCTCTGATGACAATCAGCAAAGATCTGTAACCCGACAATGGACGCCAGATAACTGGTCACTGGGTAACAGACTAGACACTGGGATATATCTAGCGATAGCCCTATGTCTCTTACTTAGAACTGGGTTTTGGTCACTGGACAGCCACCACTGAGCAATATCTGAAGTTAAATTTACTTTGTTTCAATCAGCAGGTAGTGACCTCATAGTCTTCGATTATGGATTCAAAGGCTTCTTAAATGGGAATTTTGGTAGGGAACTGGAGCCTTCTTCCTGTCAAGGTTTTTGCGACGTTGGAAAGCGCAGACACTTGTTACCATTGCCTTGCATGTCAACGTTTCTGTTGAAAGATGGATTGTCTCCATCTGCCTTGTTGAGACTATCAGAGACCATGGCCAAGACATCAAGGCATGTTTTTTCGATGTCTGTAAGGATGTAGACTTTGCAACATGCAAGAATTTTACGGGTTACCCCTCTGGATGCATAGAAGCTGTTCGTAGGGCTAATCCATACCGTGTCATCTCAGGATTTAAGGGATCAGCAACAGTGGTTCTATGTCGCCGTAAAAGACCAATCTAAACCGGAGAATACGCGTCCCATTTTTCAATGTTTATGGCTCTCCTTTGTGTGTGATTTAAATAAATAGGAAAACGGTAAAACTCAAAATCAATTCCAGTTTAAAATCCCTTCTCGCTCGCAACACAGATGGTTCTCGTGCGTAGCACTCCTCAAAACTCTATACCATGACAACTGGCCCAATATCAAACAATATATATATATGCCATACTAGTTTTCAAGCAAGGTTGCCAAATACATCGCATAGGCCCGTCCCTCCCCGCCAATTATAGCACTTATTTATGAATATCATTGATTTGTACCTTGATCGACACATTTAAGTGTCTTTTCTATTATTACACATAATGGAATTTTTTTCATAATAAAGCAATAATTCAGAAGCGTTTTCAAAATTTTGTCTGTTGGGGTTCCATTAAGCGGAGGGAGTAATTTATTTTGCATATTTTTTCTTGGAAACAAACAAAAACAGAATAGTATATGGAGACGAAAAACGGGTATTATGTGACTGAACCACTCGTATGTCTGCTGCTGCCGTTTTTTGCTCTTTTTTATTTTTATTTTTTATATAAATGACGTAGGGCAAATTTTTATATTGTCTGTGATTGGTGCGATATACGAATCACTCTTAGATGGTGACAATTGCTGATGGCATTTACGTTAAGGTAAAATGTTTAATTTTTTTGAAAGCCACCAATTTTCTACATCTGTTGCCCTATTTATCACAAACTCGAGGATAAATAATATTACATGTCGATCGTTTTGTACCACGTCCTAGGTGTTCCTGCCTTCTCTGCAAATGCAGAAAGTTTTGTCATAATGAAGCACGTGAGATTCTATATTTTGTGGAATCTTTGTTTTGGTTTACCCAGTTAAATTCATTAGTACCTTAATTAAATAGTTGTGGCTTCCATGTTTATGTTAGTATTCTGTCAGTGCCTGTTTTGGATATCACTTCAAAGCGTATAAATCTCAGATCAACTCCAGGTCAGGGATGCATTGGAAGATGACATACTGGAATTCCACTCACCTTACCCTTAGGTTTCTAGAAGAGCACTCCTTTTGCTATAATGCCCTTCATTATAATTTGTATCATGTTATAAAGCAAGCATGAGAGGATCCGGAGTAGCCGAGTGGTCTAAAGCGCTATCAGTCACGGATCACTGCCATCCCACCTCCGCGTGGATTCGAGTCTAGGATTCGGTTAATGTGGATACCTGAGAAAGCCTACCAGTAGCTTCTTGTGAGTCGGTAGTTCTTTCCGGATATTTCCCGGTTTCTTCCTCCACCATTAATACTGGTCGCCATGTAAAACCTTGTAGAAATCCATTCTGGAACACACCCACATTGCTACTTCCACCCTACCGCTCCGGTGGCCTAGGGTTAGAGCGTCTGCCTCGAATGCGGAAGATCGCAGGTTCGAACCCCGGCCAAGTCG